GGGGGGATGTACTAATCAGGATCCAACATTACCTCCGACGTTGCTGGCAAACCAAGGGGTTCCATGTTGAAGACCTGATTCCCAGTCCAGACCCAGTCAGAGCGCTCCAATGGGAGGGTGATAAGGGTTTAAGCGTTGTGGAGGGTCCGATCCTGACCGAGATGTCCAAGGATTCTCAGGGCAGTGACCAGGGATATACATCAAGAAGCACGGAGCACCAACAACCGATCCAGGTATACCTGCCAGCTTTAGAGTGGCTCCGAAAAGAGACCAATCCCAATGGTCCCTTCATCCCCGCCCGCACTCCCTCCAAAGCTAGAGTGCGTTCTCTCTGTGCCTGTTCGCCATGACCCAGGTTCACGACTTGGATGTTTCAGCACGCTCTTGCCTTGTGAAAAACCCTTCGTTTCTGCACGCGAAACCCACCCCCTCCCCACCCCCCCCCACCCCACCCGCCCCGAACCGACTCGCCGGACCCCGGACGCCGACGGAGGAAGACCATCGCGCAAAAACAGCCAGAGATGGTGCCTGCTGCCCTGGATGCCCGCCTGGCGCGACTGCTTCGCACCCGGGTGAATGGGGGCGGGCCTGCCGGGCCTGCCGGGTGGGGTGGAGGAGGGGGGGGGGGTTTGGGTCAAACTGGTGCTGGTTTTGGTGGATTTTGGAGTGGATGATCCGATTTTCTTGCTTGCTTGGGACCATGACGGATTGGTTTGGGCGCAGTCGGGCTGGGTTTCATCGTGAACATGGTTGTTTGGCTGGAGTGCGCCGTAAAAATCTTCGTGTTTCAACATGGATTGGTTGGATTGCGGGGGCCCGTGCTGGGTCCAAACACTTGAGATGAATGACTGGGGACATCAAAAAAGCGGACGACGCACCGTCACCATCACCAGGCTTTCCAGCCGCCCCACTACTTATAGGGTCTCGAAATAGGACACCTTTCGAGAAGGTCCAGGTAGACGTGGACTGGACGGCATGGCCACAACGGCTCAGATGGCTCGGATGCCCATGACATCCGAATAACCAAACAGGTGGTGCCATCCACTTCCATGATTTTGCGTCGGGCACATTTGGTTGTTTCCTTGGCTGTCACTTTTGTTGAAGAGCCATGGAGCCCGATCGCAAAAGTGTGCGGAAGTTGTTATGAAACAGTTATGTTCTGGAGTTACTGGAAGGAGGTCCGTGGAAGATGAGGGTGCATGAAGTGCATTTTTACACATGCAGCGCTTTGGTTGGGGGATTGGCTTGCTTGCTTTCCTAGATGTAGATTTCTGTCCAACTCAGAAGCAACCTCTGATATGTATAGCTACACCCCGCACGGAAGGGCAGGTTCATTCCGGTTCTATCTTAGTTTGCGGGTGTGTATATTTATATTTATATCAATGTGTGTATGTGTTTGTGTGCGTGTTTGGGGTTTGTCATTGTTGGTGCAGCCACCAATGAAACAAGGCCAAGGACAAAAAAAAGTACCGTAACAGACTCTAACAGTACTTAATTACCTAGTACTGACAATGTAAGGGCTAATAAATGCTACTATGTTCTGCTGTATGAAATAGATCCATCTCAAGAGGTCATGCGTCGGACCCGGAGAGCAGGAGGTCCTGGGTTTGGTTTGGCATTTTTGTGCTTTGGTGTCCCCAACGGAAAGCTTGTAGGGAACCAGCCTTTGACAGCCAGGATTTCAAGGTGTCGTCAGCGTAACAACTTACTGCAAGTCCCTTGGAGGGCATGCCCCCGCCAGTAGAGATTCGTGTAAAGGTCATTCACCAATCGTAGTTGGTTGCTTATATTGCTTCGTGTTTGGTACGAAGGGCTTCAAAACCACTGCAAGTTGAATTTGATGTCCAGGATTCACAACACCGGCTCTTTAATTAACATGACCTTTAAAAGGTCATTGGAAAGTGGAACAAGATATGTGTTTCTATGGTCTCTTGGGCTGGTGGTAGTTGATCGCAGGTGATCCTTCACCATCCGCCTTTGAGGCACCCTTTGTCCGAGCCTGCTCTTCCTCATCATGCGCCGCCGGGCGAAGAAGGAGGCTAAACAGCGGCTCGCAGAGGAGGACGAGCGGAAGAAGGCGACTTGAGGCGGAGAACGTCCAAAAAGATCCCATGTCCCATGCATGGTGCTTTTTTCCAACCATCCGAAATGGCTGGTGCCGGAGGTTGACTGTTGCAAAAACAACAGCAACGGCGCGGAAAACGCGGCGCGTGCAACCGTGCAAAGACGCGGGAGAACTGACGATCCATCATCCGATGGGGCCAGCTGCGTCATGCGGCGGCGCCTGAATCCATCCATCCCCAGGGAGTTCACCGCATAAAGAGTTTTGCCGAAGAAGAAACACCTCTACCAGCACCTTCCAACAGGTCTCCTTTGGTGACTTTTGTAGACAAAGGTCATATACCCTAGGGCTCCAGTCGTACCTTCTAAGAAGGGCCCCTTGGGGTGGGTTTAGAGGGTCCTACTTTCTGAGGAGGTACTTGTAGCCCTAAAAAACCTATAGTGGTCAACAAATAATAGATAGCGGCACTGTTTCCAATACTTTCATGGTGGGGATCCACAAAGGTATTTTAGGAGGGTCTATATAACAAACTGTGTTGAACTGTTCTTGAGGATGATTTTCAGGTCGCTTGTCCAGTTGGACTTGGAGGCGCATGGATGGAGTCATGGCCACTTCATGGTTTGGCCCTTGGAGAGTGTCATGGGCCGTGAGAGTAGGCCATTGCTTTGAAGAGTTTCCGCTCACACCCAAAATGTGGGAGCACTCACTGAAGCGACCACCGCGCGTTTATTGTGCGGTCGCAGCCGGCCAGGCGTCCGTGGTAGATTGACCTTTTTGGGGGGTCATTTAGTAATCTATAGTCATATATAATATATACTACACTAGCAGATAGAATATTCAAACTGCCGATAAAATACCTCAAAATCTATTCTGTTTGCTAGATATAAAAACTCAGTGTATATAGTTTGTTCATCTTCGATGATGAACCGGGGTCCCCTGGTGTTTTGTATTCTCATGAGCTGACAGAATCAGCAGCAACACGGACGGGCTTTGCCATCTAAGCCTGTGGATCCAGGATTGGAAGTTTCCAAGGTAAGAAGTGCCAGAGGCAAAGGATAGTACAGAATAATACAGACAATTGCCGGGAGGTGAATGGAGATCGTTAGGAGGTGAGTGCAGTGGCTATTCTGAATGGCCCACCCCTATCAGAAAGCCATGCTTCCAATTGGCTCAATCTCTTGGCAAGTTGACACTGCCCGAGGTTTGTCATTTTCCCTCTTTTGGGAGGCATCCTGCATCATTCTTGGACGGTGTTCAAATTTCAAGTGACACAAAAGACATGGTCACGTGTTGTTGTTTCCGCCACTGCCAGGGGCATTGACATTTTGTTGAGCATTGACATCTTCTAACTATGCAACAGATCTGCCGAACTTGGCTGGCTTTAGAGATGACAGACATGTTGCACAGTTCGACACGTTCGATCCACGAAGACCTTTGGCGCCCCTAAGCCCCATCCAGAGCTGCTACAACTGGCCTCTGCCGTGCCCGATGTGCGCGACTCTTCAGGCCCAGCAAGCAGGTGTGGCACAAGATCGACGCCGAGTGGCGCGAGAGAGGTATCGCACGGTCCATCCCGGAGGGATTTGAGCCTTGGCCAGCTCGACTGGCTGCGTGGGCCAGGTACACATGCACAACATGCACACCATGCACACCTGGATTTGTGGCAAGGAACATGGAAGGACCTGGGCCTTGAATCAGGTTCCCGCCCCGCACAACATACACAAGCAACCAGAATAAAAAAGGAAGCATCCAGCTTGTTGCGATTTGACTGTTTGATCATGCTATGGGTCTTCTCGCCTTCCACGCCTTCCACTTGGGTCGGCGGAAGTCGTTTGGACTTGACGTTGGACCCTTCGCGGCCGTCCCAGGAGCGCTTCCCATCCTCCTTGCTTCACCTGCAGCCCCCACCAGCGCCGCCCACGCCTGCACGTCCAACACCTCTCAGCACGGCGGCGACGGCTCGTGCCAGCGTGTGGCCGGCTGCTAAGGTCTCAGAGACTCGAAGTGCCAAAGAAAAACCGCCCGTAAGGCCGGCATGGCCTCGAAAGTAGGCGGTGAGATGCCAGGTGCTCGAGATGTCTGGTCCGACATGGTCCGACTAGAATGAGTGTTTAATCATGAAACAATCGTCATTTGATCTAAAGATGTTTGAAAGATTTTGAAGCCTGAATGGGCTGGATGTGCTTTCCATTGTATTGGGTGGTTAGAGGAGATCGTCAAAGCCTGATCCTTCACCACGGGTCACTGGCTCAGCCAAGCCTCTAAGAGGCTTGTGCCTTCCAATGGGTCATCCGGCATCCGGCTAGTAAGATGCTTCATGTCATCAAAAGAGATGATAGGCTAGTAAGATGGCAAGACTCGGATGGCAAGACTTAGTGGATCCGGCTAGGCTAGTAAGATGCTAGGCTAGTAAGATGCTTCATGCCATCAAAAGAGATCATTACCCCAAACACCCAGACTTGAGCCCTCCCCAGGAGTCAGAACCCAAGACCGGAGCACCGCGCCGAGCGCCGCGCCAGTGCTCCAAGGCGAAGTACCTGGGAAAGGTGTGTGAAGTCGTTGAAGCAACTGTCGGCTGGGAGGAAGCCCTCGCCATGCTGAAGGAGAGGCAACTCTTTGCGCCCAGTCAACAGTTCCTCGGTCGCCCTGTGTGCGAGTGGAGGGGAAGACGTCTGATCTTCTCTTTCGGATGGGTGTTAGATTTGCATCGGAGAGCCCTGAAAGAGGGGATCAACAAGCAATTTATTGTGGATTGAGAGGACCAATGGCACAGACCCCTATGTCGGTGGTTTATTTGTACCACCATGTGTCCAGGACATCATGGGGTGCCAGCGCCATCGAACCTTTGAAAACACTGTAGTCCAATCTGGCCCTCAGATGGCAAGGCTTTGAAACAGGACCCCTACGAAGATGTTGGGCAAGAATTCCACGATTCGACGGAGAGATGGGCGCTACTCGATCCAGATCCAGTTGGAGAAGGAGAAATCGAAAATTCACCTGTACTCGATTTGGGGCGTCGCTCAACTGGGGAGCGAAAAGATTATTGTAATGATTGCTGGTTGCCAATTAGGAATTGACTGCAAAGACAGCCACAGACAAGAGTCTTAGGCGAATGTGAAAGAAAGAAAGATTGCTGGTTCACTCTCCAAAAAGCCGGGGGAGGTTTCACCCGGCAAGCGATCCGTGATATGCACCCGCATTTGCCATCGTTTGCCGCTATGCTGCCGCTTAGGCCGTACGGCTGGATCGGCTGGATCAGTCGTTTTCAACCCCTTCAGCTTCGAGAAAACTCGGTAGGAGCAGTGCAAGCAGAGACATCGGTATTATGAGCTTGTTGACCCTAGGCTATTCACTTCTGTATAGGTACCAGAAGTAGCACCTTGGCAAAATACAGGAGCAAACACATTGAGAAGCAAATTGGATAGGACGTTGACTTCAGAATCAGTGAAGCTCAAGATCACGGGCCAATGGCGATGAGAATCTCAGCGCTACTGGTGAATGGCGAGCCAATTTGTCTCGAAGTGGCACCAGAGACAACAGGTAGAGAGCTAAAGCAGCAGATCAAAGAAGGGCAGCTGACCTGGGATGAGGATACTCGCAGAACTACTGGGGTGGAGATTATTCTTGGAGATCGATGGGCAATGATGAAACAGTGGCGGATGTAGGGGTCACTGCAAGTGCTGCTGTGAGCGTTGTCTTCAAGCCAAACAGAGTCAGATGCTCTATCAGAGATGAGATTGACAGCCGCAGCAGTGAGATTGACTCAGAAGTGTTGCTCGTTGTTGAACTCCCAAGCAATGAAACTTGAATTGCTGACAGGGCCTTTATGGACTGCCAACAAGTGGCAAAGTTGATTATCCCAGACTCAGTGACCCACATTGGGGCCTATGCCTTTGCACATTGCAGCTCTTTGACAAGCTTGACC